CCTGCAATACATCGAAATTGAAGTATTTTTGCTTACATTTATTTTTGTCACGTAATCAATTACTACTTTCTTATATCACGTGAATGATAACGTGACTAGTTTATTTTACTTGGCATGTATGACTATTAAAAGAATGATATAATTTTTTGTCCTTTTTTTGATTACAAATAATCAGTTCTGTTTTGAATTTAAGACGCTCCGTCTAGCAAATATTTTTAAACACTTTGGATGTAAAGAATATTTAGATTATGAGATTAAAAAATGTCAAAAATTATCAAAACTATTCTGCCCAAAGAATTACTGAAAATAATTGAACGAAAATACTAATCTATAAGAAAATGTGTCATTTAATGATTCTGAGTAATTAGCATACTTCTTTTACGTTGCATACGTGGAAAACTAAATTTTCGTGACTAAATGATATAATAATGACTTCTAACGTACGTTAAACATACAGTGGAAGTCATTTCTCGTGACGACTGTAAATACGTTAAATAAAATTTGAATTTGTGCAGTGAAATGTAGTTCTTCATCGATAACTTCATGTCAACTTCTTTTACGTTGCATACGTGGAAAACTAACTTCATGTCAACGTGGGGTTCAGAAGATTTACTGGAATCAAATCTACTCTCAAGATGAGAAAGGTGATTTCAAGGAGAAAACCAGAAAGTCATTGAAATCGTTTAGGAACTGAATTGAAATACTTAATTTCATACTTTCATAATTTGCATATTGAGTACAGACAAATCTTTTATAAGTTTTCATCTTTTTCATTACTACTCCAATGGATCTTACTTGATTATTATTCCTATTAGTATAGTAAAACTTACTGCTTAATTTTTAATTTATGCAATGGTTTTCAAGTCTAAAACTAATTAGTCTGAAACTGACTACGACTACACGCAGAAATTTTTTAGCAAAGAATTTTCAGTACAGAAATGATAATTTACGGCGGGAGAATTAATGATTGTAAAAAATAAAAATAGGCGTTTAAAAAAATTTGCATGAAAGTTGAATACAATATAAATACTGGTCTAGAAGTAAATTAAATAATACATATTCATACAAAAACTAACACTTACGCCTAATATATTATTATACATAATCAGTTTAGATTCAAACAGCCAACTAATTAAATATACATATTCATACAAATTAATTAGTCGTTAGAATCATTTGTCAGTTAATCATTTATGAATTATGTGTGAGAACTACTGATCTATGCTGAGCATCAGTTTAAAAAAAAATCATATCATTTATATTTTAATGCTTACTTAAAGCACATTTCAGGCATTACACAGCGGTTGGCAGTGAAATACTCCTTTCGTTATTCACAAACTTTATGCTTGCAATATTAGCTTGAAATTTTATCTGTTTGAATAAATATAATATTTAATATTCTTTTTACTAATTTGCTAATTGAATGGATTAGTACAGGAAATTAGAATTATCAGCGAAGCAATTAGAATAGCTGTAATCAAATAAGACCCCCTGATAACTAAGCAACTTGCATTAGTGCGATTGAATTCATTCTGCAAGGAGACAGAAGACTAAAGGTCAGAAGTAGATTAATAATGCTAAATGCTAAAGAGGAGGACTGGACTAAATTATAGCTTTAGTGAATGTGACCAGCGCTGGCTAATTGCCATTGGTATTGCAGCCTAATCGCCCTTCAAAATTTTCAGAACAAAATCCTTTGATGACACCTTGGCTAATTTATTTTTATTGACCCCTACCTTCATTGAGGTCACGAGCGATCGATGGAGTAAATTAATGTACCAGCTAGAAACAGTATCATGTTAGTTTATTAGTATGGCAGCTTTGACAAATATCCTACTGGCGTAAATCAATTAGAGATAAGATTTTATGATAACTTAATGCATTACATCTTAGACATATTCAAGGCTTTCAAAGTAAATAAGACTAATCTAGCTGCTTCGATGATATTTCTTATTTTTTGCATTAATTAATTAATTAATTCATTCATTCATATCTAATCAGTGATTGAAGGGAATACAAGTATTAATTATGCAAAAAACCAAATTTCTAACTAATTTTCAAGAATAAAGTTGTCTGTTAATCTCACGAATTTCTTGCTTTCTACTGATTCATCTTCTGCAGATTTTTTCAGCACTGTTCATCTCCGAGATCAGAAGATGGATGGATCAAGTTTAGGATTAATGGACCGGCTCTCCAGTCTTACGCATAAGCAGGTGTTGCTATCACTGCTCTATCTTTTTCTCTGAAAAGTTAATGTAAAAAAGCTTTGCTTTGTTGCCGACTTCCAAACTAACTAACTGCGTGTGCTGTACTCAATCTTCTCACTGGCAAGTTGCTCATTTTAGAGGGATGTAAAAGCATTCAATCTTTGCATATCTGTCAGAAATTATTAAACTTTCTTCAAAAATAAACAAATCAAAATTAGCACCAAACTATTTGCTGTCTTCTCGCACTGAATGCACACAACACAAAAAGAACTAACTGATTACTCGCAGAAATATTTAAAGAAATGCGACAAAAAAAACGAATCGAAGAATGCTTCACTTCATTTATTGTCATTTTAGTTGGATGATTCAGTGATGAGATGGCAGTTTGTGTGCTTCAGATGCTCAGTCATTTTGAAAATAGACTCAAACATTCTTAGTCATCTTCTAAAAGTAGTAATAAATGTTTCTGTTTGCTTGAAGAAATCAACGCTTTTGTAATAAATTCAAATTTTCGTTTTTTATGTATGGAGAATTTTACAATGTCCCTTAAAGGTTCTTGCAATATACTTTCTATCTTTTTTCATCGGTGAAGGCAAACAGGTTTTTTGTGCCCAAGCACACACACACACACACACACACACACACACACAACACAATTCACATCCTTCAAATACGCACACGCACGCCTAATCATTTGAACTTTTGCAACAAGCACACACATACACGCAACACGCATACACACATACACACACAATACATACATGCGCATGCACAGAGCCATACTCTCATGCACAACTTTCCAAGTATTATGCAGAATTTACTATCCATGCCAAGCACTCTTCCTCAATTCTTCTCCCGACAATTTTGACTAAATCTTGTTTTGAAATTATTTGATTAATTACACTTAAATATTATCAATAATCGTTATCAGTTGGTTAAATACAGTTACACTTATTATCAGATTTGATAATTTAATGATACTTTTTTGAACAAATAATTCACATTTACAAAGGTATAAGTCATTCTTGCCTTGTTAGTCAACATTTTAGTAATGTTGTTGCGGAGATCCCTAATGAAATGTTTTACAATCCCTCATTTATTTATAGCCCAATATCATTTAGCTAAAAACAGAAGCTTGCTGACTTGACTTATCCCTCTGTTTGAAATTGATTCAGTCCACATAGATTTACTTTACTTATTGATTTCTCTGTTGTCTTTTGCACTACGTGTTATGCGAGCTCTTAACATTTTTACATGCTGTTATGGTTAAAACTTACTATATGTAACGTTATTTAGTAGCTGATATATAGAGAGAGAGATCACATAAATATAGGTCAAAAATTGGTACCGAAAATTCAAATTATTCATTTTTTTGATCATTTCCTATTTACCAAACAACTTCAAGCTTATTTTCAGTTCTTATTTGCTTATTTTTTTTTCATTAATAGGACTTTACAAATTTAGTTTCAATCTTGCATATTCTTCATAATTATTAATGTAAAAAATTCATAATTAGCTACATACCGTATTGGATTTTTAAGATTACTCAAAGGTATACTTTGTGATTGGCCAGAAAAAACTATTATTTGTAAGGAAACTTAATCACTTATTTGCTTACTTATACCATAACTAAAATAAATTTGCTAAATCTTAATAATTTGTTTGACAACTGCAAAACTTTTGCTTATGAAGAAGAAAAGAAAATTCCTGAATTATTTGCATTATATTTCTTTACTTTTCAAATATTTCTGTCTTATCAGCGAGTTACTTCATCACTGATTGAGCATCCGCGATACTTTGTGAGAATCTAATTTGCAGACTTCACTTGCTTGCAAATAACGTTGAATTATATTTGACGGTCTACACTGTTTACGCTGCGCAATTATCAGTTTGTTATCGCAAATCACCTCAGCAACAAGAAAAAATGCCACTGACTTGTTCTGATTGCCCAAAAATGTGTTGCTCCTTGATCATACCAGTAATTTTTTCGTATTACAATTTTTACTAATCAAAAATTCTTAAGTAAAACGAGTTGTATATTTAAAAGTAAATATATATTTATTTTTAAATATACAACTCGTTTTACTAATTTTTTTCTATGGAAAATACAACTCGTTTTAATTTTTTTCCATGAAAAATTATTTTCGTATAAATTTTATTGCTACATACTTTTATCATCGTTAATAATATGACTTATTATTTTATTTGTACAATTATTCACAAATTCAGAATGACTTGTAAAATGATTAGATTCTTTAATAAGTTTTACTAACTAATTCAGTTGTCTGTTTAAATCGGTATTTGAAGTTGAACTGATTATCAGTCAATTAACTTATATTAATCAAAAATATTTTAGCCTGTTGGAGTATTCTTCGAAAGAGGTTGCGGTGTCGATCTGCTTATCAACATATTCTTAACACTGTTGTGTTACATACCTGGTTTGATTCACGCTTGTTTCATTATTATCAAATATTGATCTTGACGAATCGATATATGATGGATCATTATCTGATAAACTGATTGATATATGATGGCAATTATTTCGACTTTTTTGTTGTTTAAATTATTTTATGATTAATTATTCTGTCATGTTTTTTATTTTGCATTTTTCAGTGACAGCAAATTGCTTTTGATTTAATTAAACACAAAATGCAATTTTTCCATCAAAAATCACCTGGAATTTGAGATATGTCTCACGAAATAAATTAAGTTAATTGACTTAATGCACGAAGAATAATCCATCCTCTCAAGTAGCTAATCAGTTATCAATTATAATTTTTATAAAAGGACAAAAACAAAAGTTATGGCATAGGTTAATTTTTATGTAACTAGTAGTTGCACTGATGAATTGCTGCTGCTTACTAGGCTATAACTGCCATTTTACATCGTCTGTTGATCATAATCGGATCATGGCAATATTGATTGATATATCGAGTCTATGATCGTTAATTGATGGTTTTTTTACAATATGACTTTATTTAATTACAATTTTGATATACTCATTACTGTTTTTGCTTATGTTTTGTTGATAAAAATAATTAAAACTCGCACTATTCAGGAATTACAGACATCTAATATTTTTCCTCTCACTTTTGATTTAACTATTAATTATTCATATGGAAAGGCATTATTTTAAATGTCTTCGAGCACAGAAACAAAAGTAATCACTTTTCCGCTTTGCTCTATTGGCTTGTATCTTTTTTGGTTCTTACTGCTTCTTGTTGAGCACACAGCAATTGCTTATTATATCTATTATTTATTCATAATAATGTGATAAAATTTCGCTTGCAAGCACTTTCTTCCAAAAAAAGACATTTAAAAATAATAACTGTTTTCGTTTCATTTACTTTTTCAAATTTCTTTTTGATTAGTTTCACTTTTTGTTGGTAAATTTTTATAGTATAAATTAGCTAATTGCGATAGTAATAATGCTGCTGAATTTTAATGATTTGGCGTTCAAACGTGTAAGTAAACGCTGAAAAATTCGGTACAATATGCTA